AAGCAAATAATATGCAAGTAATTGGTAAATGTTAAATTCTTGCCATATTTATAAATTTTTGTTACCTATCGTTTTTTCTTCTAGATTTGGGATATTCAAAAGCAATCTATTAGATCATTTTTCCCAGGTCACGAACAAGATATTTATTCACTTGACTTTTCACGTGATGGCCGTTTAATCGTGTCTGGTTCTGGAGATAAAACTGCTCGAGTTTGGGATATGGTTACTGGTGATTTATTGTATAAACTCTCAATTGATGAACCAAGTCAAAAGGATGCTGGTGTAACCAGTGTAGCTATTAGTCCCGATGGTTATTACGTCGCAGCTGGATCATTGGATAAAATAGTACGCGTCTGGGACGCACGAACAGGTTATCTTCTTGAACGTCTGGAAGGTCATAAAGATAGTGTTTATTCTGTTGCATTTGCTCCTGATGGTAAAACGTTAGTTTCCGGAAGTTTGGATAAGACTTTGAAATTATGGGATATGAGTAATCCAGGAAGAAATACTGGTGTTGGTTCTAGTCAAAAAAATGCTGCAAAGATGACTTTCAACGGACACAAAGTATATTTCAATATATATTGATTTTTGAATTTTGTGAATTATATATTTTGGGTTTTGAATTTTGTGAATTATACATTTTTTAACTTTTTTTTTTTTTGTTTTAATGCCAATAGGACTTCGTTTTATCCGTTGCAGTCTCTCCTGATGGTCGTTGGGTAGTTTCAGGATCTAAAGATCGTGGTGTACAATTTTGGGATCCAATTAACGCACAAACTCAATTTATGTTACAAGGTCATAAAAATTCAGGTATATATTAAACTTAAAATATTGTTCATGGACGCTTTCAGATTATAGACTTTTTACTCATTATTTTACTATTTTAGTAATTTCGGTAGCTTTAAGTCCGGCCCTAAACGGCCCAACTGGCAAACTTTTTGCCACTGGGTCTGGTGACTGTCGAGCGCGTATATGGCGATATTATGATGATCAATAAGATTATAAGACAAATTTAACTAATTTTTTTTTTTTAGCAATTTATTGTTTCTTTTTTGCATTATTTCTTAGTTTTTATTTGCAGAGTTTAAGTATAGAAAATAATTGAGATAGTGGTCATCATTCTATTCGAATTAGTAACAATTTTCTTGAGGTGATGGTCGGATTTAAACAATGATAAATAGGTGTATATGCACTTTCA